CATTGGTGAGTGTTTACTAAAGAAAAAAAATGCGTTGATTATCTTAATTTTACACTATCGTCACATACGAAGGGTAAAGTTTGCTTAGCCATTATATATTTTATGTAGCACATAATCGGTACATAAACCCTGCTTTTATAGACAAATTTATAACACAGATCTCCTTCAATCAACGCTCTCTGCTGGGATATATGTTGTGTACAGTGTGGGTTCCTTCAAAGAAGCTCTCTCTCTCAACATCTTCTGAACCTATACACGTTTGAGACATAAACCTGAAATTACCCATTACACAGGACTGTTTATGATGTGTCAGTCTTCAATTGATTTATCTGTCATCACTTTCTGAACGTAGAATCACCCATGACCTGGGGAATGTGTTGTTTATCAAACATTAAATTACAGTTGGGGGGTATTTTAAAAGCAATTCACTATTAAAGTTTATGTGGGAGGTATAGACAGATCAGTATGTTTACAAAACAAATAAGGGAAGGGAAATGCAATATCGTAAAACGAGTTATAAATACCCCCTGTGTACCACACTTACACTTCAGTCTTGAGATTCAGTTAGGCGAGCATCATGACGTGCAAACCATTCCAATCATATATAACCACATTTCAGAAAGTTTACACGGCGATAAAATTGATATAATTTTTCAATCGCATGACCAGGCTATAGACCCGGTACATAGCCGCCACACCACTATATCGACACTCCTCGCTCCAAAAACTAATACGCCGTGTCAAACGACGCAACCCACGCAAAGCGAACAACTCTAGTTCAACACAATTTACCAGCAAAAGTCCCACCACAAGCAAAGATGAATCTTCCGGCGAGAGGTGAGAATCTATTCACCCATCTTTTATGATGTAAACGAGCTCGCTATGTCACCGTGAACTCGTTCCGTGCGATTGTGGGAAATACTTGAAGGATATCCAACAAAACGAGGAGTGTGCTTCACAATACGACAATTCAGGAAACTGAAACAGATTTCCCCCAAATCGAACTTGTCAACAGGTATATAAATGTAATTGCTCACAACTATTTATCATGTAAAATTATTGAGTGTGAAATACATATCATATCTGCGTTAAACTAAACGACAATCGGTGATCACCACCGTTTGCGTGAAATCAAGAAATAATTTAAAAACGAATCCCGTAAATATTATATAAATATATATATATATTTCTTTTTTTTCTATTTTAGACAACAAGAAAAAACCATTGGATAAATTCCTAATGAAAATATTATCTCTAACTTCATTTTTAGACAAGTTCGAAACATTATTCAAATCAACTGTGTAGGATGTCAGACCAATCATGGATCCCAATGCCGACATGTCTGTTGAGCTTTTGGTACTTGCGATGATAAACAGAGATTAGTGAGCTTCACCAATACACCCATCAGACTTTACGTGGGATAGATATTGAGACAATTGCGACCTGTTATAAATCGTTTAGGCGTATCCATCCAGAATTCGTTCGTTTTTCCACGTACTTTACTTATGTGGTATTTGGAGGATTTAAGTCAAACCCGAATTTGTGTATCACTGCGCGAGAATCATTATCTTTACGAGAAATGGATTCTCAGTTATCTGATATCATACAGCAACGTGTAGAATGAATTATTTGTGATTTATCAGTTTATTATTATTATTCTATGTCACTCAGTTTTTTTGTTTTTAATATTTTTTTACTGACTCATATGAAATTTCCTAGCGTTAAAAAAAAGAAATACTTAATCATGCTAGAAATGTATCTGTTTCGTCAATTTACCTTTTTTATTACTGTTTATTACTATTATTATTATTATTATTATTACTCTATGTTACTCAGTTTTTTGTTTTTAATAAACTTTCTTTACTTACGCATATTGCATTTCATAGCATTAAAAAAATACACGCTATTAATGTATACTCATGTGACTATTTCATCAATTTTTACTTGTTTTATGCAATAAGCTCCCATAGTATGTGTAATTATTAACGTAATCAGTGTGAATGTATGTGCTATGTGTGTAAGTGTATGTGAGCGCCTTCTACCGTTCAATTATAAAATTCATGCCCGGCGTGACGTCATTACTCGTACGATTTAAAAAAATATATGATAATTTATGCTAATTAATTCACGTCGCCCTTTTTACTAACTAGATTTAAAATATTTAATTTATGATAATTTATGCTAATTTATTCACACGCCTTGCTGAAATTTTGTGAAAATCTTGTTAACCATATGTGAAATAAAACCGACCACATTTTCGTCAATCCATAATAGAAATTTTAATTTTTGTTTGAAGATATTAAAGGAAATAAATATATGACAATAATAATTTATTTTTATTTTTCATTCCAGAATTGTCAGTAATAGAGCAAGGTAGGAGAAATAATTACACAGAAAAAATGAAACAACGTTGATCAACTTTAAGCCACTTGTAATCATTGTGTAAGTGCGCCCTCAATGTCTTTAACGTATTGATTGAATTATTTCGTTCACAAAGTTAAATCGACTGTTCTTGTGCAGGGAATCAGCAGGTGGTTGTGTACTGACCGACACCACATACTAGTAATACCCTAAATAAGAAATACATTTTATGTACAAACAATAACAATTTAATAAATATCTCTGTGGAATGCTTTTATAAATCAGGAACACACTAGCTGTCGTGACTCAGTATAGATTCTATTGTTAAACTTAAACAAAAATACTTCATCCGTGTCTACATCATCAGTATTTCCATCTGAGCCTGTGTACTTATAAATAACCAAACACAGGGCAATATCGCCACGGTTGACCGAACCATTGTATTGCATCCATGCCCGGGATCCAGGTCTGGCGTTCGACCAATCAGATGTTTTCGGATGTTCAACTCTGATAGCATTGTACCTCACACGACCCAGGTATGTTCCTTTAGGAACAGACCATTAGAAACTCCGGGTGGAAAACAACTGCACAGAGAAAAAAGATAAATAAAACAAACCATACAGGGGAAGTGAAAACAAGAGCAAAGACCTCCGATTCTAATATGAAGGACAAATTTATACAGTTTTCAACTGCCCCCCTCTCCCAGAGTCTACTCGACCTATTTACAACAGCATGACCGTCACAGTTGTCCCACTTACCCCACTACCGCATTAAATATGAGATATTAATTTTAATGAAAATAAAATTGTCGTTACTTTTTTTAAATGCAGGTGAGCCAATTAAAATCAGTGTCATTGAGAAGTGAGGGTATGTGACACGTATCGACGAGTTGTATGTGCGGCAGAAATACATATTTGTTAAGTTGCCACTGGGACGTTCGTGAGATCGATGAAAATGAAAAGGAACTGAAATCTAGCCTAATCCTAAAATAGGTGTGGTTGATTTTATGTCTGTGCCTGAACACATTTCTCAGCTTCCCAGCATGCAGTGCGAATCAACAGCCGTAACTGTTTGTGTTAAGCTGAACGTGTACATGCTCAACACAGACGTCCGTGGTTTCAACCGACACATTCATTGGATTACTAGCCGATTAATAGGGACACCGTCACCGATGCTGAGGGACTGTGTTGTGGGACACAACCACGTCGAATTCACTGAAAAGATAATTGAGAGACACAACTAAAATAACGGTAAGTCCCGCTCGTACTACCATTGATTTCAGTTGCTACAAACCCACGTAGTGTCTTGAATGAAGATTAATTCAGTCAATGAAATACATCAAAATGGCCCTGCCTGGCGTTAACTTTAAATCGTCACACATCGTCTTCTGTGTTCACACTGTGTGAATACCTTGAGTATGCACATTTGTATGAGCACACTCATATATATATATATATTATATCGTAAACACACTCCATTGTTATGCAAATCTGTAGCGCTTATAACGTAGTCTGTTTCGGTGGTTTATTTAATAAAGTCTTAACTCCTGATGAGTGAGGTACTCCATGTACCTTATGAAACAGTACTGTAGAGTGAACTTTACTCATGTAGTCGTGTCTTAATTTCTCTGTCCACGTATATATATATATATATATATATATATATATATATAT